ATTTAAAATATATTATGTCCATATAAATAGAGATCTGCATGCATAAAGATATATACATATATACAACTTTTATAATATTATCAGGAGTTTCTTCTTAATATCTCTTAGAGCAGCCAACGGTAAATCGAAACATTAGCCAGACACAGAAATCATTTTAAGCAATTTATGCTCCATCTCAACCCTCAGCTAGGGTTCCACAACTTGTTTTTTGCCGTCTGGGGTGAGCCAAACCACATTTATATACATATAAATCTATATATACATTTATATATATAGATAGTAGTAAGTATGCTGCTATGGGCCGTTTATTAATTTTCTAATGGATTTTACGTTTCTGCATTTGAAGATTTCAACAATTCTGATAAATATTTATGCGCAGCAACTCGTCTGTGAGGGGGTGCAGATACATCTAAAGATGCGAATGCGGATGCGGATGCGGATACGGATGTGGATGCTGACTTGTCTGCGACAGTCTTTTGGGTCCCTTTTTTATAGACAGACACACACACACACACGCACACACACATGAGCATTGATTACGATTGGCAAGTGGCATTTAGTGAGCAAAGTTTGTTTATGTTTTTTCTCTCTGCTTGTGTGTGTGTTGGTAATTTATGCGTTTGTATAAATTGTCAATAAACAAACAACATTTGGCCAGTCGGAAAACTGCAAAGGTTGCATATTCCAGCCTGGCTCTGTCGCTGACAGCCAAAAACACTTGAGGCCTGGTTAACACAACTAAAAACACACAAAAATTAACAACAATTAACAATTGGCATCGTTTCTGTGGAGAGTTGTTAACTCAATTGTGTTTAATTGGCAACGGCCTGGCTTAAACGATATGCGTCTGTGTGTGTGTGTGTGCATGCGAGGTAAGTTTGGTGGGTCGTTTGGGTGGCTCGTTGCAGAGCCTGGCTGCGTGCCTCAAAGCGGTTTACGATAAAGTGCAGCATGCTGAAAAATTGCTAACAAAATGATACGCTTTGTAAATTGTGCTCTCTCTCTCTCTGTCTCTCTCACTCTCACTCTCTCTTTCTCACTCATTCTCTCTGTGTAATGCCTGCAATTTTCTCACTCGCTTTTCTTTGCGTGCCAAGTGATACTTTTTTCACACACAAGCGAAAAAAATGAAAGGAAAATCAAATCAAGAAATGAGAAAATGCGCCCAGTCTGTGGGGCGGCTTTAATTGTGCAGCAAAGGAAAACTAAAGAGCAAGCATCAGTGTATGTGTGACTGTGTGTGTTTGTGTGTGTGTTTGTGACTCTGTGCAGGTTGACAAACTGAATAATTGCCAATTATTTGGCAAGTTTTATGAGCTGATAATTTCACATATTATATATTGTTAAGCTCTATCGCAAAACACCTATGCAGTCAATCTGCTTTCTCTCTCACTCTCCCTCTCTCTAGTTGAGGCATGCACATGCTATTGTTTATATACAGTATATACAGTATATATTGAAATATATGTGTTTGTTGATAATTTTGGCAAATGCACACAACATTTACGATTTATTGGTATTTTGAGTATATTTTAGGGTTTACCTCTCTCGCTTTGCTGGGACCTCCTTGGACTGACACACTGGACACACCAACTGAAGAGGATGCAATATGCGCAACAACAACAACAACATGAACAATAACAAAATTCAAGAAATGAAAAACCAAAAACATGTTGAAGAAGCAGTTTTTTAGGATCTTCAGTAGAAGAGTATTTCGGATCATGTTGGACGGATTGGAGAAAGGGTATTCAATCGTTTCATATTTTTGTGGGAATTGCTATACAAAAATTGCATTTCATTTCTTCATTGGATTTTCGGGGATTCTTTTTAGGGGGTGACACACTCGCAAAACAAAATTCAAAAAATTTGTGATCGTTGCAACTTATAAAAAATTTGTGAAAAAAAATTTATGAAAAATATTTAAAATATATTCGTAACATATAAAAAACAAAAATGTTCCAAAATATATTCGTAAACTATAAGCTAAAGAAATGAATCAAAATAACATTGCACTTACCTAGCCAGTCTGGTAGAAGAGAGCCCGCAAGAGATTCTGAGTATCTCTTACCTGAAAAGGAATAGAAAAGCATTTGGTTAGTTGGGAGAGTTTAATATGGCCAAATGCCTAACGGTTCGCTTTGGGTGTTAGTGTTTAAATTAATATAAAGCAAATAATATTTGTTAGAAATCGGTAAAAATTAAGTATTAGTAAATTAGTTAACAGTAAATAATACATTTTACTAATTAGTAAGATTAAGAAAAAGCAATGATAATAAATAAATTGTATATATATTTAAGTGGTAATATAATAAAATGATATATTAGATAAAAATAATAAATTTATAAAACAAATTGTGTATTAAATATTTAAATATGAATAGCCAAATAAATAAATATGTTGGTATAAGGTACAAATATAAATTGACATTACATATTTAATTGTAAAATAAAATATGCCTATATATAATATATAAATGAAGTCTGAAAATAATAATAACCCATCTGATTAAAATAATAAAATAAATTTTGAGTAAACAAAAATTTCTTTGTTGGGTATAAAAATAAATTGAGATGGAATTTTTGATTAAAATTATATATTAAATATTGTCTGAAAATAATAATTCATTAAATAATGAGTAATGTAAAAATAAAAAATAATAAATCATTTAAAAATAAATTTTGAATAAATTTTAAATGAGTGATTGATAAAAAATGATTTTTTTCACATTTTGTCACATAACTTAGAATAAAGGTTTTATATGCACGTGTTAAAGGTCTGTAAACGATATAATGTTTTTTTTTTCATAATTAATTTTTTGTTTTTGTTTTGGTTTGAAAATTTCCACAATTGTTTAAGAAAATAAAAAAAAGTAATGTTCCTTCAGCTGCCTCTCCGCAGTCAAACCGCTAAACTAAATTTGATATATTTCCACCTGTTTGGCTATTAATTTCCGCACATTTTCGGCTAAATATGGGTGGAAGGATGGGCGTGGCGCACTATAAAAAACACATGACTGCCAGGTATTTCATAAATTTCGGCCAGCCTCGCGGCATTCCATATTTGGTCTATATGCATGTAAATAACCTGGGCTAAATCATAATTTTAAGCTTAGCGAGCAGCCAGCAAGGCGCAGGCAAGGTGAGGCAAGGTAAGGCAAGGTGAGGCGCACGGCGCTTCGTCCCTAATGCTAATCTAATAACTTTAGCCGTCTACAATTTATTTGTTCTAACAGCAGCGCACAAAATTATGCACACAGCACGCAGCCAGGAAAGACTCAGAGCCATCTCGCCCAGCCCCGTCTCGAGAGTAATCCAGGTGCTAGTCGCCGTTATGTGCCAAGGAGCTGCTGGCAGTAAGACATTGAAGCGCGTCAGGTGCGCGCATTAAAAGGACGCCCTCTCCCTTTACCAGGACGCTTCGACTAGTAAATTTCTGGCAAAGTTTTAAATAATCGAAAACGACTCGACGCACTTGGCGAAAAGTTGAAACATGCAAAATTTGCATAAATAACAACTAAATGCAACTTGACGCTCAAAATGGCGCCAAATGATGAATTGCCGACGGGATGGAGAAGCTGAAGACTTAATATGCGTATTTTTCTTAGGGTTGGCTAGAGTTTGCAATGGGCGGTAGGGCAGCCTCAAAAGCCAATACAAGCAAAGTAGTAGTATGTTATGAATAGTTTTATTTTTATCATATATTCTTTATAAATATTATATTAGTA